GAGATGCTCACCAGAAGCTAGGACTAACCCTCGTCATGTAGCATCACAGCAGCTCCGGGGTAACGTCCTCAGTGGTAACATCGCCAGCTGGTCCCAAGAAGCAGGGACATTTCCCATGCTTTCTTCTCACCTATACCACTCCAGGGCTTAATAAATCCAGCCCATAATCAGTGTCAGGATGGCTGAGACCATGAATGCAGCTGATTTCCTTCAGCTTGCTAATACTGGAAAGCTGCCTATGAAGAGAGCCAGATGTGCTAATGAGGTGGGTTCACCTCTAATTCCTAGGCAGTTCATGGATACAGTGCCATCATGCTTTGCTGAGGAAGTAGGAACCAAAACATTCACATTCTAGAGAAAATTAATGATGAAAGTCATAGAAATGTGCTTCACAAAACATGGGGCCTTTCCTTAATATTAATGCGTAATTTTGTAGCTAATTACCCCTGATGCGTTTCCCAGTGGCCTGGGAATCTCTCACAGACCATCTGTACTCACAATTACCTGCTCAGTTTTTCATAATTTCTTACTAAATCATCACTGGATTTACAAAGGGATCATTAGTCATTTGAGTTTCCTTTTCCCATTTTTTGCATCTGTTAATTTGCCTTGTGTCAATTTGGCCAAGAAATATTTATTAAATAAGAAGCTCAGTAAGGCTCAAGCACTGTTTTGCTGTTATGAGATATTAAATTATCCCTAATCTTTTCTCCAGCCAGAGCTGTACGTGGGGCTGGGATTCACCTGTGTTGTTGCAGTGGATGAATAGAGGAGGACTGGCATGTCGGAGCAGAGTGGCTGTGGAAGGAGCAGGGTGACCTGAGGAAACGCTTTCCCCCTGCCACAGGGACTCAGAGATTGGGGAAGGCACTGACAAAAGCCATTTTTCAACTCACACTTTTGAAAGTCACAGCAAATTCTCTTCGACATCATCCAAGTTCGGATTATACCTCCAGGATCTCAGACCAGTCCTTCAAGACTCTAAAATCATTCCCCACCTCCAAACTGAAGGTTGACCCTGCTGTGTCCTGGGAAAACCAGCCCCAAGGAGGGGGTTGCTCACATCTGCTCTTCTGTCAAACGCATCCCTAGACATTCTTCAGGCCCTTCAGAGAAACCCTCATCCCTTCCCCAGCACAGATGATGATGGCATTCCTGTTGCTGCAGCAAAAAAAAATCTCACTCTTCAGTTCCGCTGAAGTCAACCTGCTGCAGGAGACAAATTGGTGAAAAAAGCAAAAGAAAAAAGAAAAGGAGTTTGGGCTTCTATTTAGGGACAAAGTGGCTAAGCCTCCTTTCCTTTTGAAGATGTCACACTTCAATCTGCTAGACTTCTGCTCCCTGCCAAACCCTATGGGCACTTTGCATTAGGTTTCCTGCAGAGTCTGAGTGCAAGGAGCTACATGGAAGCATCCTTGAAACTAGACATTTAAACTACATCCAAATGCTTTTTCTGATGGGAAGCTTCTAGCTGTTGGTATGTGAGCAAAAAAAATTAAAGCAAGGAATTATTTCATTTAGTTAGACATTTTTATTGAGAAAATTTTAAGTGCATACACATTTATGGGAGAAATTACAACAATATAAAAGTGTTTATTTTTGAAATATTCTATGAAAGGAGTAATTTCAAAAGCATAATAAAACTCCTCCATAAAAGCTGCCTTACAGGAACACAACTACAAAACCCTTTTCACATTATTTGGGAAGATATTTCTTCATACTTAATAAAAATATAAAGTACAGTATTTACCACATCCTGACAACACTGAGTTTTTAAGCAGTGGAAGACGGGAGGTTCATGCAGCCCTTTCATCACGATAAATGTCTTCTTCTCTGTGGCCACCGGAGTTTCATGTTTGCAGACAAAGCTTTTCTTGGTGAGAAGTTGGTAAAGGAAAAAAATCAGATTTTAGGTGATGAGTTCTCAGAAACCACTGGTTACTATAAATCACATCACTCTAAACACATTGTCAGAGAAAAGAAGGACCCTCTAGATGCTAACAAAGGGAAAACAGCAACAAAAACTTCTATAGGAACTGCATTTTCAACAAAATGTGTATATTTATCTTGGAATATAGCCTTCATTGCAAAATGAACAGTCAACTTTACTCAAACACCTTAGCTAAAAACACATCAAAAATTCACCCTTCATCCTTCTCAGGCAGAATTCAGGTAAGATATTTATACATACAAGTGTAAAGCTAGTATAAATAAAAACTTGGCACGGCAATAAATACCATCTATTTTTCTTTAAAAAAAATAAACCAACTTCAGGATTTTGACAGCTGCACTTTGAAAATACCACACGTGACAATTTCACATTTATGGAAGCTGCTTTTTCAGCACCAGTTCAGTGCTATATCTTTTCCCTCCTTCTCTTCACGTGTGGTCCCTACATCACTCCCACCTGACCACACTCCCTTTCCCCAATTCTGTCTTTGGTCAACGGTTAAAGGCAGAAACAAATATCTCGTGCTCTCTCCGAGCGGGTTTCTGCTAGTGCTGCTCCTCAGCCCGCTAAGACCATGGTGTGCACAGGAGGAACAGCGTGCGATGCACAGGGTAGCACAGGGAACCTGGGGCAGCCACAGGGCTGATTTCTCCAGTGTGAAGGGCACGGCTGCTCTTCCCAATGCATCATGCAAATAATGTCAGGCAAACAGCAAAGCTTCCTGTTCAAGGTTGAATTTTGGTCTAAAGCAAGAGAAAGCTTTTATCTGGTTCTCACTTCAGTCTCCAGTTACTCCTGGCCAGGTCTGTGCTCAACCTTTCCCCAAGTGAGGGAGGGCCATGGTGCTGCCCCCTCCAAGAGCAGCCCCATACCCTGAATGGTCTTAGCTACTGAGTAGTGAATCGTCACCAGCACAGCAGTGATAGGGCCCAGGCAACAGTGTGAGTCTCAAGAAATGCCAGAGGCAGGCAGCCCACAAGGCACCCACACAAGCACCTGGCTGTGAGCGTTCCCTAGCCTTGCAGGGAGTCCCTTTCCTTCTGGCTGCTACTCATGCATTTCTCTCACGAGCAAATGCCCTTCCTTTAGTACAGTCTACCCCTGCAATGCCCACTAGTTTGCCCCAGAAGAGAAGGATGACAGGTGACCCCATTTCCTGCAGTTCCTGTACTACCTCGCTATACTCTCCAGAGCTATGACCCCAGGCTTTGGCCAGGGTCCTCCAGCACTGCCCAGCTCAATGCTTCTGTCAAAGTAGTCTGTCTGCCCAGTCTGTAATGTGGGGCTGGCATGTGCCCAGAGACCTTGCCCTGCTCACGCTGTTCCCAGATGCACTCCCTGTTTAACAAGGATTGCAGCAGAGCACTGGCAAGGCCGTACAGCCACATCTACCCAACCCATGTATTCACTGGAAAGCAAATGTTTCCCCTAGAAATAAAATCTTCATGGCCTCTATTATTATCATGAGGAAGGTATGCTGTTGAATCAAAAACAGGGGATTCTTTAATTCTTCATTTACTCCTATGGGAATTGATCAGACCTCAAACTGTCCTTGGATGGGAAGCATGTGTGAAGAATGCACCTTCCCAGGTGACAAGGACAAGCTCCATGTCTATGTCATTCTTGGCTTTGACACTCACATGTTTGCCTCTGGCATGTTGCTAGCAATTGCAGGTGCGTGTGTGGGGACAGGAGAAGGACCCAAGGATATAAAGTAGAGTCCAAGGTAGACACAAGAAACCCTAGTTTTCTTACAAAAGTTCTGAGAGGTCCTGATCCTGCTCACATGAAATTAACACTCCAGTTCTCATTAAGTACAGTGGTACCAGACCTTTCAAAACAGAGACACAATATTCTTAAAGCACCAGGCTGGTAATAGAAGGAACAGTAGAAGGAATGTTAAAATCACAGAAACATACATTTTAGGCACAGCAGTTAGTTTCTGCTTTAAACCAAACGAGGTGATGTGGTGCCAGTGGAAGCACTCTCTGTAACAGTACTGTTTTGCAGAGAGGAAAATACTTACAAGAATTTTACCTGAATCCACATGGAAATAAGGTGGTCCCTGGCTAGTCAAAGTGCCTCTTTGACACTAAAGATGCCTGCCACATAAAGCAGTGCTTAGTGAAAAACCCTTCTCAGTGTGCCCAACTCAGGCTGCAGAGAAGAGGGAAGATTTCTTTTTAAGTAACCAGCTCAAAAAAAATACAGTCTTGCAACATTTTTTGTTTACAATACATACAAAGATACATACAAACACAAGGACTGTGATGCACAAATGTGCTTCCTCACGGAACCCGGTGTGCAGCATAACATGGTTATAGCAGTACTGCAGGTGTCTTTCCATACACTACGCAGCAAAGATAAGGCGTATACAGGTAGAAATCATGAGAAAGAAATTTCTGGCTGAGAGACGGGATGGGTGCAAGAAGTGGTACCTGTCCCTGGGCATACTTTGTAAAGGAAATTGCAGAGGCTATCCTGTTCACCAGCAAACAGGGCCATGACCACTGGTGAATGGTGAGCGTTGGCCTTCACTTCCACACCGGAGAAACACCACTCCTTCCACAAACTGAGCAGACCTTCTCTTGCCCCAGGCATCTGTTTTCTTCAAAGATATGGCCAGACATCCTCTTTTAGCTGTCTCTGGAAGAATCATAGATGTTGCTGCCCTCGGGTACATGTGACTGTTCAGTAGCGAATGCTGCAGCATTGTTGGTGAAGGGTCACGTGAATGTATCTCCACCTACTTCAGTGCAAAGTCAACCAGGCAAGCTGAAGCCACCTCCTGTGGATGGGTGGGAAAAGACACCTGGTGCGTGGCAGCATATCTGACTCTTCCAGCAACTTGCAACATGATTGTGTGGTTAGACCTTTAATAACCTATTCTTTTTTGTGCTAAAGTCTGTCATCAAAAACACAGGAACATAGGAAATGCCAGGTGACATCAGATCAGTGCTGTGCCTCCTAACACACACAACGACTACAAACCAGGCACTAGCACCTTGCAATATCAGACATGCATTGACGCAGATGCTCATAACTGTCACCAAGGTCTCTGATCTTCACAGAAGGGCTTCACACCTGTAGCCCTGAATTTAATACCTATGAAAACCACCCATGATAATGCTGTCCACTTTCATCAATGTCTGATGGTTTTTAGCCTTCCTATGTTCTTGTCCTCGATGACTTCTGGAGGCAGAGAATTCCTCCACTACTTACACAACATCATTGCACTGTACAGTTCATGTCCTTCTAGGTTTAGAACTCCAGGAGACTTGCATGAACCAAAAGAAAGTTAAATAAAGCAGGACATCTACATAGCAAAGGAAGTAAAATCTTATATAATAACATAGGGTTAGTTTAAACACATATCTGCTCTCAGTGCTAGATAATCAACCTGTATAAAAACATATTTTTCTCAAATAGTTACATCTTACTTTATAAAAAATAGCACCGTGAAAGCAAGCCAATTTGTGCAAAAAAAAAAAACCACCAAAAAAAAACTCCAAACAAAAAAATCTTTGGAAATGCATGAAGCGTTGCTTTTGTGCTGTATGATAACAGTGAAATGTATTCATTCCCTAATACTGGTTATCTGCTCTCTGGGTCCTACAGTAAGAAATCCTGTAGACGGCTTACAATGCTTGCCTCTTACATCTTGAACCTCCTGTTGATGAAGAACAGAGTGAAACACTATTAAAGTTTATTTCAGTTGAAAAAGCTTTGATATCAGGCCTAGTCAAACAGCAAATCTGTGTCTGGACTAACCCAAAGCCATTTCTTTTGCAGCCCCTCCAACCAGTAAACCTTTTGGGGGAAGTTCTCCACAAGGAGCTACTGGGACCCAGCAGGGCAAACCCAGTAACGGGAGTTATTCTGGGCAGATTGTGCTCATCACAGTTAGTAAGGCATTCAGAGCTAACATAGGAGGAAGGCTGACTAGGAAGCTTACTCTGGACTTGAAAGCCACAGCACAGAATTATTGGTGGGTGAAGAGACTCAGCAAAAATACAGCAGGGAAAGGAGGGAAATCATATGTGAACAGCCCCAGTAGTGGAGCAAGTGGCACTGGGAATGACTCCTCTACCTGCCCCTACCTCATGGGTCTGCTTGAGATCATGGACTACAGCTCCTCAGGGGTCTACAAGGGTGTCAGCTCTCTGCGAAGATGGAGGAACACAGAGGACAACCCATGCTCTTGCTCTTGGTGTTCAGCTCCCACCATGGGGTGGCTAGAGAGCAGAGGCCTCTGAGCATGCTGCCCAGCTAGAAACCATCCCCATGGCCTCCCTGCTCTGGGCTCTCACCTGCTGTGAGCAGCTGGGCAGCACATCACAGCTCATGGTGACCAGCTGCCCACTGAAGGTCGGCTGACTGAGGGCAAGCAGCCACACGCTGCATGGTAAACGTGTGAGGCATTAAGTGCAGAGGTAGTGAATACAGGGTAGGAGGCAGACAAATCAAGTCTCCCATGTTCAGTGTGAGCATGGTACCCAGGAGAAGTGGTGAGTTAGGCATCACAGCAAAGTGCAAGTGTATTGTGTGCAGGGTTCACTCAAAACAAGGAGCCAGTCTGTGCTGGTGGCATCCAGGTTTTGTCTGAAGTGACCCCTACTCCTGCTCCAGGCTAATCGGCCCTTCATGATCTAGATGAGGTCACTAAGACTGAGTTACAAGTGTCAGAGGGTAAACACCAGGTATTCAAAACCCCTGATGTCCCATCATGTCTTGCCTAGCCTAAAAGACCAGAACAAACATCCCTTTCAATGTCTGCTGGGAACAAAGACTGTGTGGCCACAGCCAAAGACAGTTGTGGCTACTCTTCGTAAGGGTAGCCTCGGAAAACTCATCCAGGCATAAAGCAGCATCAGCAAAATTTTTCTCTTTGAAAATATCCTTTGCAATATCCCACACCAGTAACCCTACTTCTTTTGGTGCAGAAAGGCAGGACACACCACCCAGGTAAGAAATAAACAAATGTGACATCCAGAGCATTGGCATATGTAAGCGACACTGTTCTCTGGGACTGGCCTAGCATCTCCCATAGAAGAGATGTCAACCAGTCACTACTGCATCAAGTCCTGTTGTCACCACCCAGTGGTGCATAGGTCATCAAAAAATACCAGTGACGAATTCCCACCTGTTATTTACAGTTTAACTCTGTCAGTTTTGTATTGGAGAAATATGGCCAGCTAAAAGTAATAGGGCTTCCAAGCCTTTACCTTGCTTTTGACTTTGGCTTTGCTTCAGAGTTATTTTGGCGTCTTTGGGTATCCATTTTCCCACCTCTAAAATGGGAAAGTTTTCCCACCTCTGTTGTGGATGAACTTTCCCCTTTGTTTAAGAGTTTTATCTTTACAGTACCTCTTCGCAGGGAGGGTACATCTGTTATCCTCAACAAATATATGAAAAAATAGAGGTCTGGGTAGGCTAATATATTTGCCCGAGGTCACATAGGATGGACAGGGGAAGAGCAGGGACTTGAACCTGAGGTATCCCAGCTCAGAAACTAATGCCTCCTACCATTCTTTCTCCCTGGAGACTTTAGTGGTGTTGCACGGGAAGGGCAGAGTGGGCCCCGTTTCTTCTGTTGCTTTTTTTTATGAGTGCGATGACGTGGTCTAAATTAAAAGAAAAATACAAAAAGACTGCCATGAATTATCCACATACAAAGGCCTTATTCACATTTATTCTATGGTCCCTTCACATCTTGCTGACAGGGTGCAAATGAAGATACCATCCCCTTTCGCATACCCTCTGCCTCAGAGGAACACTAGGCAAATGAAAGTGCCCTGGTGACAGGACATTTTCAAATTTTGAGGCCAGAACAACTCCTATCCCCAAAAGACCAAAGCCTCCCCAAAATGCCTGCTAGGACTTGTTAGCCAGGAACCTCACCATCCACACACATTGTATTCCTAGAGGTACAACAAAAGCAGAGGCAGTTTGGACTTCCAGATTCCCACCCAGTATTCCCACAGACATTAACAACAACTGGTGGCTTACTCTGTGGGATTTATGGGCATCCGGTGCCTTCAAATGAAGCTGTGAAGATGTTTGCCTTCACTGTCGCCCACCGTGTGGGGTATTCACCCAACACACACTTGGCAGAGTACCAGGAGGTAGTCGTTTTGGCATCCTGTACTTGTTTACACATGCGGTCAGGAATTAGGACGAGATGCCATACCAGGGTTTACAAGTGCTATGGAGGAAGGCAGCAGCAGGACTTGGCTCCCCTCACAGCTAGCCCTTAGAGTTTCCCTTCTATTCTCCCAGTAGGCTCAAAGGAAAGGTTTTTCCTATTTGACTTCGTTATCTTCTCCAGATTCATCAGCTCTCTTGTCTGTGCCAGTAGTAGCTGCTGAGCTTAACAGATTCCAGCATTTCAGGCTGAGGGAAGTTCTGAGGTGGGACTATACTAATGTGACAATGGACAGGCAAGGATCATTCTCTGGTCTCTGTCTACTCTGCAAGGGACTGATTTTGCATATCCTTGCATGAAGGGGAGAAGGGAAAGGCAGTCAATGTACTGTAAATTATGACTAGGATTGCCTGTGATAAAGGACTTGTTAGCTATTTCAAGAAAGGATTGATTTGCCCCTTGTCTATAAAATGGATGAATGTTGGATGATGTTGGCCACAGCAGCTGCACAATGATTTTTAAAGCCAGTTAAGGAATTTGGTTTCCTGATAGCCTGAATGTATTTTACTGATGTGTCATCAGTGTGTATATTACATGGAGATGTGATGAATATAAAGCAATAATAAAGGCTAAGCAGAATTAGTGAGCAAAATAATTCCCTACTAAAGACCTTCTCTGGCTTCACAATAAACTGTATTGGACTACGTTATTCTATGAACTTTTCCTTGCCCTTAGCTGCAGATTGTAACACAGAAGATACTTTTATATTGAAGAACTGATATAGATTTAGATGTCTTGACACTGTGGATTTTACTGAAGCAATTACAAGAGCCCTTTCTACAAAACGTATTGATTTTATTCCAGAAAAATAAATTCCAATGTACAATTGGGTTTTCATAACATGAAACAGTTAGCCATTTTATTGCTAGTGCATATAGGGTAATGTCACATTTCATACAATTTCAGTACAAGTGAAAAAATATAATATATGGCTGATTGAAATTGATAGCTACATTAACATTTATAGTTCTATATAGATTTATTTTACAAGCTGTTAGTAGTTTAGAGGGATATCGGTGTTTTAAACTACCAACATTCATATGGCTCCAATTCAAATATATGAATTGTTTGATGCACTATAAATATATTCCAAAGTACATTTCACTGAAGAAGTCAAAGCTGTGCACTAAAATATATCAAAAACATGCCTTGTGAAAATGCTACACACAGAGTCCTGACTGTCTGTGAAGCATGAAAATGCCACTGGTGCTAGCATTACTAGTTGAAAAATGAAAATAATGCCATGATTACAGGATTAGGTGACGGAGATAAATGCTTTCTGTCATCTTATTTCATAGAGCTGGGACCAAATTCTCTTCTGTTACTCAATGTAAACCAGGATGAAATCCACTAAATTAGCAGAATTGCTTTTGGATTAGTGCTAGGTAAACAAAACCCAGAATCTGGCTGGAGATCAGGTACGGGCTCACTGGTTTCAGTAGAGCTGGCCCCAGATCTTCCCCAGTGGAAGTGAGAGCAGAACGTGTTCCAGCTGAGCTGTTCCCCTAAGTCAGGCAGGCAGTATCAGAGCACATAATCCCACTTGCCCAACCCTACAAATTTCTTAAGGGCCTCCTAAATTTTAGGTCTTATGAACAGCACTAAGGGCTTCTTTGGGGATGACAGCAAACAGAAACTTAGGCAGGGGCTTGAGAATTTTTCCCAAGTTGGAAAAGAAAGTAGTCCAAGCCCCTAGGCTAGTCAGCATGGGCCACATCCTGCTCTTAGATTCGGTTGTGCCTAAATCCAAAGCCATTCTGGCAGCAGTAACCTGGATTACCTCTGGAGAGAATTTTTCCAAAGGACAAGAGGGCTGAGTGCTGGCAGCAAAGAAGGCACTGAGCATCAGATGAGATGGGAAGAGTTGTCAGGGCTGGAATCACAGTCAGTTTGTTACTTGGCTTCCTTCCCTCCTCCTCCTCACTCTTGGCCCAAGTGTGGTCCCCAAAGGACCACATGGAGGAATCTCTCTACCTCTGGTAGCATTTCTCCCCTTGCTTATTGTAAAAATACAGGTGAACACAGACTTTTTAACTCTACCCCTTGTTTGGCAGATGTATTTGCAAAGAAAACAGTGGAGGGCATTGAGCTACCCGTACTGCCTCACATCCGCCCTGGGGCCATACCCTTCCCCACATTTCTCCAGGAATGCATTGCTTTTGCAAACTACTGGATTCCAGCCCTGCCTTTACCCTACAGATGCAGCAAGGGTGAGACTCAGCACGGTTACTGAGGGGTGGGAATGAGGTGGCAAGGGTGGGAGGGGTACTGAGTGCACAGGTAGGCTTGCTGACTAAAATGCCACTGCTGGACCAATCGCAGGGGCCTGGGCAAGCAAGGAAATGCTTTGTACCATCACTTGTCTCATCTTCTGTCCCAGGAAGGCTGGAGCCCTCCCCTGCAGCTCAGCACAGATATGTTCTCTGTGCTGCTCTTGCTTACAGTAAAATTCAGCTGAGATAGGCTGGGTCCACCTCAGGGTAGCCATGATCATCCATTTTCAGGAGGAATAAAAGTAAATATTAAAAGTCTGAATTTGCCAACTATGGCTGGTTTTCCCCTGGCCTTTTGGGAGAGCCTTATTCATGGCAGTGCATGTAACCTTGGCTGATATTAACAGCACTCCACGCTGGCCAGCAGAGAAACAATTTTTAGCGCCAAGATCTCCTAGGCCTCAGCTGCCTGTGCAAACAGACCCCAGCGTAACATGGAGAAGGGGCTCCAAAGAAATGGGAACAATATAGATTTTGAAGTAACTCTAGTTTATCATGGGCAAGGGGGGACATAAAGGAAGCATTTTCCTTGGGAGAACGGCTTTTTTTAAAAAAGGATGAGCTGGGGACCCCAGAACAGATTCATCAGGATAGATTTTGCCTCAAACCCTGGCAAAACCCTTAGTTTAACATTTAGGATATACTAGAAGCTGTTGAGTTAATACAGACTAGGTCAACTCCAAACTCATCTTCAAAACAATATCTGATTCCACAAGTACTTTGTCCACATGGTGAAAGCCAGCCCTTAATGTTCTACCCTTTAATAACTCAGGATGTTAGCTGTTAAGTCCATTTGTCGCTTGCCTTACTTGTTTAAAGCTTTCTCCAGATACTCCTGGATCCACTTTAACTTGGGATCAATGCACACTTGCTTGCTGTTGCTCTTGAGCTTTGCACTGTGGAAGAAGAAAACTCAGAGTGAGTCTAGTGTGCAATGCTCCTCAGCCCACACCCACCACCCACCCTCGGATGCCATATTTTCCTTGGGTGTCAGTGCTGCTCTCAGTTAATCCATGAAGAGGATGAGTCGTCCCTGCCATCCTCAAGGCACCTCTTATAAATATCCCTGGTTTTAAAGCACTGGTACTGTCTGTCTCCTCTGATGCTGATTCTTGTGGTTTGTACTGGGGGTCCATGTTGGGGTGGGACATATAAAAAATTTTAATCTAAATTTTCCAATTCGTACCTGGGCCATTATGAATTCAGTGCCGACAACATCTAAATTTCATTTGGAAACACTGACATGGCAAACATAAGTCATATTTGCAAGGGATTAATTATGAACAACTTTCAGATTCAACCCAAAATAGAAATTTCACCTGTTTTGAGGACAGACACCAAACCATACCTCTTGGATGTTCTGAAAGGATCTGGTCACTCGTTAGCTTTTTGTTGTTATACAGGACTGAACTAACAGGTTGCAGGCAGGAAGACAACTGAAGTACCATATGCCAGAGGCAAGTTTTCCTGCGTGTATTCACTCAGTAAGGGAACAAAAGCAGAACCTCCTGAGGGGTTTCTCCTGGACATCCAAGAATTCCTTCTGAATTTGGTACTTGGGCTATCTGCATCTTTCATACAGAAGCAGTACAAATAGCTTTTCACCCGCATCAGCAGGTCTCACCCTCCAGAGATCTCAGGACCTCTTGAGAGTGCTGTGGTCTCCCACATTGCCCAAAGCACCCTGCCTCTGCCCCAGCTGCTCAGAAATTTCCCATTAAACAGCCTGCCTGCGATGTAAAAGTGCCAAGAACAGCAATTTCATGGAAATACCCATAGGTTCAGTACTTGTTTAAGCATTTTGCTGGACGGAAGACAAAATGTTCCCTGTTCTATTAAAGGAAATATGCAGAATATAAAAATATGGCATAACAAATAACAGGTCAAAAAGGCTTCTTGGTCTGAAGTTATGCAACAGCACAGCTGTAACATAAACACATCGAAGATCTTGCAAGTCTTGCACCAATAAAGAGATGAATTCATCTTTCTCTTACAGCAGTGTAAAGTTGGAGTATTTCCAGCAAAGTGATACCAACAGAGAGTAAGAATGGATTTGCTGATGTTAGCAATCGTGGGAACTCATGCTGGCCTCATAGGGCACAGAACCGAAAGCACACGTAACCAGCCTCCAGCCACATGCGATGCAATTCCTCTCACCTAATATTAAGACATTAATTATATTTTGACATTTCTTTCTGAGCCTGTCAGCCCCCGCTCCTTGTACAGTCATGGCAGAGACCTAGGCAACTGCATGGAGTGTTAACCTGAACTGGTTTAGGTGTCTACTTCAGAATGCAATTCATTGCACGTTAAAAATGCCTATTTCCCTCTACTGAAAAGCAGAAAATTTAGGGTGGGCTTTGTAGAAGTAGACATTGACAGAGGAGATGTCTGGATTTGGAGAGATGACTTCCCATAGCACCAAAGACAAAAGCCCGCTCTTAGGCTTTTTGTTCAGGTACAATTCCCCTCCACCATAAAGGCGAATGTACTTCTGCAAAAAAATACAAGACCTTTCTTTGAAACTATATGATTTTACGGAGACTCCCTGTTCCTGAAAATGTAGCTTTTAAGCTACTGACACCTTCACTGTATAATGCATATTCACTAAATTCAGAGTGTGGTTAAAACCATCAGGATAAGAAATTTGCACTAGGTTTGATTCCATTTCAGCTTTTGTTTTGATGAAGACCTAGTTTGAACTCATGATATTTCAGGGGTATTTGGAGGTAAGTTTTTAAGTACCTTAGTTTTTAAACTCACAAAAACATTGTGAATGATAGGTTCACGTATTCTGAGTGCCACTAAATCAAGTTGCAAACACACACATTTAAGTCAGGAATGGACATGAACATGAGTTGTTCGTGTTTCTGCACTTCATGCTCTTATCCATCCCTGATGACTATGATCCCATGTTAATTAAGAGACAAATGTATACTCTATCCTGTCTTAAATACCTGTCATTTTCTTGAAACTACTCCAGAAAATTCCAAATCCTCTACAAAGCCTTAGCACTGGGACCCTTATGACATCCATTGACAGTCCCAGAGCACAAATCCATACACTATTGCATTTTGTATGCTTGCCTCCAAAATTGTTTATAGGTAGAGATTAGAGTTAGTCACAGCTGGTTTTGCCATTTTTGTGAAAGTAAATTATTTCTCAGCTGAGGCTTCCATTTTTCTCACTGTCCACCACCAAATCCTAAAGCAAAAGCACACATGAGAAAATCTGTATGATCTACACAGAATGGATTAAAAAAAGGAAAAAATCAAGTGAATAAAACCTGGTTCATTCACGGATACAAGTTCTTCAATATTTCTGTACATTCCTGAGAAATCTCATAAAACCACGTCAGTTTTCTGAGTGCAGAAATGTTTTGGATGACATAGAATGGATTTCTACAGTATTTGAGTTGCAACTGGAAGAGCTCGACATGGATTGAAGACAGAACTAGTGATGGGAGCACTGCACAGAAACCCTGCCTAGTCACTGAGACCCTCTTACAGAGGTCAACAGAAGTTGATGGTAATAGGGCTCCCTCACAATGAAAAGATGAATGCTAATTTTTTTCTTCTGAAGATTCTGAATTTTGGGAGAGGATGAAGAGGACCACCCATGAACAAATGAACCAATAAGACCTTCCTAAAACCACACACACACAATCTACAACCCCGTTTTCCCTGGAAATCAGTGTTTCATTTTCAGCAAAAATGAAGAGGTTATTTTCCATTGGGAACCCATCATCTCCGTCCTGCTGTGATCTGTGATTTACCAGAGTCGGTCACCGCCTGCTGAGTGTGTCCCTAGATGAGGCCAGCACGTGCTTAGGATCTGTACCTCCTGTGGAGGCTACACGAAATGCAGGAATTCATTTCACTTGTTTAGCTCCTCTCTGTGGAGAAGTGGAGCACTAGAAGACTCAGACCACTGGAAAGTCTTTTCCCCAAGG